CTAGCATTGTGCTAATTTATAAACAAAGATGCAGCCAGTTCTTGCTAATGACAGGCATTCTACCAAGAGCAGCACAAATTAGCAGGTCACAAAACATCAGATCTGATGACAGAGCAAGCAATGTGCCAAGCAAAATAAGTCAGTGTACGCACAAGTGTTGTGGAAACATTGTGGCAGTTCAGATCAATTACCTGCAGCTGGGAAACGCTGAGTTTTGATATATGGGCAGGTTCTGTACGAAATTGCTGTAGAGTGTGGATAAATGTGTGTGGTGTCTGGATAATTCTGAGTGCAAGATTCAGAATGATCGGCTCCATCACCGAGCGGGGGTGGGGGGGTCGTGGTTTGGTCCCGCCTTCGCCATTGTGGTTGATGTGGAGGTTGGGATGGGCTTAGGACGTCTGGAGAATCCCTAGGGACGTTATCCCTGGAGGGCTTAACCCAGGGGTTGTGGTCATGGCCTGGTTAGTGGCTCTGGTTGCTCTTAGAGGGTGTTCTCCTTGTGGCTGCGTGCAGCAGGGCTGGGGGAGGGTCTGTGCTGGCGGACGTAGGTTACTGGCCTGGTAGCCTGGCTGCCCCTGAGTGGATCCGGGGTAGGCGTGGGGGCTTGGGGTTCGGGGGTGCTTCGCCTCTGTGCTAGGGTTTTCTGGCTGGGCCTTGGGGGCTTCGGTCCTTGTTGGTGTGTCGCCAAGGTTGTGGGCGGGTGGGTGCATGGGGGCTCAGCCCTGGCGCAGGGAGCCTCTGGCGCATCAGCCTAACTAGGGGGCTCTTCAGCTGACAGGGAGTTTGTTCCATCCTTGCAGGAGTCCACTCTGCAGGTGGGGGAGAGTCACAGGAGAGGTGGAGAATAAACTTAACCTGGGTGTTTACTGTCTTGTCCGGTCTGGGAGATGATTGAATGTTAGGGTGGGTACAATTTCCTCTGCGGTGAGGTCGGGTGGGCTGCCCCGGGTCCTGTGGGTCTGGGCGGTCCTGCCATAGGCCCCGGTCTGGATGGGCCTGGGCTCCCTTGCCTTGGTGGGTGCCGAAGGACGAGGGTGCCTACTGGGGTCAGCGGGGGAGCTGGCCCCAGGGAGGGGCATCTTGCTCCTCCCTTCTTTTCCTCCCCATCCCCGGCTGCCTCCCTCCAACACACCCACCCACACAAGTAGGGCCTTGGGGTGCGGTTGTGTCACCAGGGTGCAGGGGAGGCATTCCCCTGCCCCCTGGTGCACCCCCCCCTCCTCCCCTCTGTCCCCTTCTGGCCACCTGTGCCTCAATTTTATTCCACAACTTAGACATCCAAATTACTCACACTCAATAAAACATAGGGCCTTGAGGGTGGGCACGTTAACGGCGTCCAGTGGACGGTCTGTGTATTCAACCCCACCTCTGGCGCCGGTGCCCACCTCTCAATTTTAAATCCATGTAGACATTGAGGGTTCTCGGGAGGGGCCGTGCTAACACCTGCTGCTCTCTGGCAGCAGCACCATGCTCTCCTTTGTTTTAAATGCACTTTAGAACAACACGCAGCAACACTACACATGAGCGAGAGGAGGGAGGTATGGGGTCTTCACACACCCCTGTTCTCTGCTGGCCATCGGGCGGGGGGGCTGGGAGGAGGTGTTGGCCGTTGGAGGCTGGAAGCAGGTGTTGGAGGTGTAACGTGGAAGCACAAAGGGAAATCACAAGGAACGACCTAAAAATAGACATTTTAAACCCTTATATGGAAGGTCTTTGGAGTGGTGTCTTTTTCTCTATATTTAGGAACCGTAGCAGTCTGACAGAAAGCGTCTCTTTAGTTTGAAAATGGCTTGGGGTTGATAAAGCAGTTTCTAGTATTCCTAACCACTCAAAGTGCTTTTTACACAAGCCACATTCTCCCATTTACAAACACACACACTCTTAAAGCACTTTTATTCTACTGTATTCAAGTTAAGCACTTTATCTAGCACACACACACACACACACACACACTGATAGATGCATCAGAGCAATTAAGATTCAGCTTCTTGCTCAAGGGCATTTCCACATGCAGACCAGAGACACTGAGGATCAAACTGCTGTCCATATTCACAAGTTCCTGTATATGAAGACAAAATCCAAGAAAAAACACTAAATTCTTTACAGACCATTTTTTAATCTTACTTCAAGACATAAGCATGTTTACTACTAATTATTCAACGCACACTTATAAATAAATGCACACAATTTTAAACAGGTCAGTGCAGTCTCTCTCACAGCTTGGTTTGAGGCCCCTTTTTTCTAAATGTCAGTTTAGAAAAAAGGCAGTAGGACAGTGCATGTTCCCCAAGTATCAGCTCTCATATGTAGGTTGCTGTGAACTTGGATAATTGCTTATCTGGTTTGGTGAATCCAAAATGATGATAGGTTGCCCCATCATAAAAATGAGAGAGAAAAAAACCCCCAGAAGAACTAAAATCTGAGAGCAAATACAGCACAACATAGTTTGATCTATCGTATCAGTACTTCTAACCTCATTGTTTTCCCATTTCCCCTCTTCCTCCATTTTTCTTCGGTTTCTCAAGGACAAATTAGATCAGAGTCGAACAAGTAGAAAAAGGTGAAAACACTGCTGTTTTGACAGTGAGTGAATGTGTGCTGTGTGTGAGGGTACAGTGTGTGTGTCCGTTTGTGGGAGCTGGAGAGAGACCAACGGGACAGATCTGGGACACTCAGCCACCAGCAGCAAAGCAGCAGAAAACTAAAACCAGGGCAGCCACTGATCCACTGAGAAACATTTCCATATGTGACAGGATGTTCGCCCTTAATTAAGCCCTCAGATCTTCTCCATATTCTATCATAATCATTCATATTCATTTACTCCGGAGTTGTGGCTGTGGACACAATCGTTTCCTTCGGGGCCACACTTTGAGCTGTTATGTGAAAAATCAGAAGCACCTCAGTAACCACACTCAATAACACTGAGGAAAACATGGATGAGTGCTTGTTATGCCATGGGCAGCAACAACAGGAAACAAAGTAAAAAGGGGGAGCCAGTGTAATGCATTTTAAAACTACTGTGTTAAATCTCACAGCCCTGACTCATTTCCGTGTATTAGTCACAGCGATGGCTGTCACTGTATAAAGTTTTAGCACTCACTATTGACTGTTGTTCTACCAGATTTATGCATGGTGAAAATAAATTTGAATTTAAATTATTTTATGACCTCTTTTCTTTTATTCTTCCTCCATTTGACAGCAAATATCTGAGAGCAAACATCAGAAAAGTCCAAGCAAACCCAGGTGCTCTGCACACACTACATCACTCTAGACCACTATCCCACTGTCATACCCCTGATTCAGTGGTTACACAATACAAGCAAACAGAGGCTGAGGCTCAGCATATCACTATTTACAGTCAGCAGCACCACTATCTATGACCATGAACACAGAACAGCTGTTTTTCTTGAGCAGATGACTCACTCAAACAGCCAGAGTGCTGGGTCTCCTATAGTTATTGCACAGATGCTAAAGGGTAGCATTAAGCGTTCGTGCTGTGTTTGGCGGGCTGGAGGACATGTTGGTATGCAGTGAGAAATGTGATGGATGGATGGGAAAGACTGGGATGGATGTTAAGTGTTCACATACTGGATTGAGTGGTAAATGATCATATGATAATAATGATTACGTACTGTGTTATACTGACAATATAGCATCAGTGCTAGCATAAAAATCCTGAAACTGAGCCTACAAATGTCAATACAAGCATCTGCAATATCGTATTGCTGTTTTATTCCCATGAAATGACACCCAAACACAACCATTAATGCATAGTTAAAGCGTGTTAGTGTGGTGAAATCTGTAATTACCTGAATGATATTTAAACACTGCAGATTTCACCACCATGCAAGAACAGCTGTGCATGGATGTCACAGTGATATGATACTATGATTATGATTATTATTAGCGCAGTCAGCATTAATCTCATTAAAATGAGGTTAATACGGTGGCCCTGAGAGGCCAAACGGACTGCAACTTCAGAAAACACTTGCAAAATGAAAAATGCTGCAAAAACAAAAACACCTGCAAAAAGAAAAACACTTGCAAAAAGAAAAATGCTGCAAAAAGAAAAATGCTGCAAAAAGAAAAATGCTTCTTTTTGCAGCATTTTTCTTTTTGCAAGTGTTTTCTGAAGTTGCAGTCCGTTTGGCCTCTCAGGGCCACCATAGGTTAATGCCATAACTGCATTAACGCGGCAAATCTCTGCCCGTTAACAAGCTAACCGTGCTAACGTGTTGATGCCGTGCAGCCCCACGCACGGGGCGATCACTGGTAACTCGCTAACGGAGATTTGCCACATTAATGCAATTATGGCGTTAACCTCATTTTAATGAGATTTACGTTGACAGCGCTAATTATTATATTAACTGCTATATATCTTAGCTAATATTATTTTATCAGTGTGCTTAACACTTAAATGTGTAATAAACTGCAAAACAAGATTTGTTTTTAAACTTGAAATCTCCATCAAATTAAATTTTGGACACATAAAATATTCTGACAGGAATCATTAGAGTCTTATGTGCTAAAAGTTCAATTGCCTGTCTGGGAATAAAAAAATAATCCAAATGATGAATACATTTTCCAAAGCCCCTCTTCACAGCAGTCATTTTGACATGACAAAGTGGGACAGCACAGGTGTCTCTAATGATGTTAATGAAGGTTTTGTTCTATCTGCATGTAAGCCGTAATCAATGTAATTAGTCACACCTGTGTTTAAGAACTAAAAGGTCCAGTCGACAGATGAACTACTGGAAACAATATGTTACTTGTACATGTGTTAAACTCATACTAATAGGGAGTCTGCACAGCCATCATTGTGCACAATTAAATTCAAACAGTGAACTTCCAGTATGCAAATCAAATTTTTGAGTGCAGATGTGCAGTAAATGAAACTATGTGGTCAAAGTTTCTGTGAGCCACTCGTAGAGGTGAAACACAAACAGCGTGAGTACATAAACAAAGTAATGTAACTTGCACACAAATGCATGACTCACCCTCCTCTGATGTAATCCAGGAAGGTGTGCTCTGACTCTACACTGAATGACAACAAGGATACCTGAGAGGGAAAAAAAGGCCCCAAAAGATTAACTCATCCTTTTTAATTAAACAAAATTTACCAATCTACACATTAACACTGACCTCTCAAAATGACCTATCCATGCAAAATGATTGCGTTGCCGAAGCAGCGCCTTCGAATTACAATCACTGAGCGTCAGTGTGCCTGTGGACTGATGGATGATCAGCTTGATGGATAGCTAGGCACAAATTTTAATTACAGAGTCACAGTATACGCTAAGAGCTGTAGCAAAGCCGCGGCTCATTTATGAACTTCTGTCACTATTCTTCAGGGAAAGGACACAGACACAAGTCTCTTTTATTTAGCTTTACAGACTTGAATAATCATCCCGTTTGAGGTCATGGGAATGTTTTCCCGTCTACTTAAATTCACTGTCTGGATCATAAGCTCAGGGAATGGGAATAGAAGAAAAACATTTAACAGAGTTCATGCAATCCACTTAGTGAAAACTTCCTGCTGAATACAAAAGAGAAGGCAGGCAGGGGTGTGTGTGCACAAGGAGATTTGCTCTTACAGTATCTCAGACTCACCGTCCCAGAGTTGATGTATCTCTTCTTCTTTATTTTCTTCTTGGCATTCACCACCTGGTATGAAGGCAGAATGGGAACGAAGGATAATGATAATGTAAACTTGCAGCACAATTCTTTTTATCCACCCTTGGGCAAGTAATAAAAACATCTTTGTCCTCCTAGTCTATGTCTGTAAGGGTAATGGAGCATAGGGAGTGAATCCAATAACTGTAGCAGGTGAGAATGAGATACCATTGATCATGCCTTCCAGCTAAGTGCAGATAATTCAGAGGGATTTTTATAAGCATAAGCAGTCTACTGTAAATTTCACATGCATGCTGCCAGCTGTGGTGCTTATAACCGCATACAGAGTGAGTGCAAGTGCACAGTTATGTGCAGTGGGGGTAGATGCATACAGCCAGGTCCAAGCTTTTGGATAGTGACACGATTTTTGTGCTTTTGCTTCTATGTACCACCACAGTGGAAGAAAGGAAATGAAGCTCAAAATATTGCTTCAAATTCAAATTTTCTGCGCAGTCCCTCCATTCCCATGCCATCAAAAGTAATTGTACAATTAACTGGTAAATTAAACTGATAAAAGGTATGCAGTTGATTCCAAAATTTGCATTTGGTAATTAGCCTGAGAAAACAAAGGCGAGCCATCAGAGAGAGCAGAAAATATAGGAGTGGCCAAGACAACAATCTGGCTGATTCTTAAAAGGAAGGAAAGCGCTGGTGAGTTCAAGCCTGGACGGCCATGAAAAGTAGCTTAAACTGAATGATCTCAGAATTCCTTTCACAACCTCTAGCCAAATCAAGAGCACCTCAACAGGGGTAGGCGTGTCAGAGCCTGCAATCACGACAAGTCTTCATTCATGTAACTACAAAGGGTTTAGCTCAAGCTGCAAACCACATGTGGCACTCAAGAACAGAAAGAGCAGATTACACTTTGCTAGGAAATGTCTTAGAAAATCTTGCCCAGCTCTGGAACAAGAAGTCTCTGGAGACAGATGAAACCAAAATTAACTAAGAGCGCCGAAAAGGAAAGAAGCAGCTTGTGATCTAAAGGAAAACACATCATCTGTCAAACATGGTGGAGGCGGTGTTTTAGCACGGGGATGCATGACTGCCGGTGGAAGTGGGTCACTAGTGTTTATTGATGATGTGACTGCTGATAAAAGCAGCAGAGACGACAGAGCTGCACTTTCTGCTCAGTTTCAGCCAAATGAAGAAAAACTGACAAGACAGCGCTTCACAGTGCACATGGACAATGACCCGAAACATGCAGTGAAAACAGCTTAAGAGCTTTTTGGCAAAGACATTAAATATTTTTAGATGACCTAGTCTTTCACCTGATTCCATCCCAAGTGAGCATGTTTTTCACTTACTGAACACAAAACTAGCCAAAAAGAAAAAAGGCAGAGCTCCCTTAATAAGCAGCGAGTGAGCGAGGCTGACAGAGCATTTCAAGCGAGAAAACCTTGCACTTTTTGATATGCATAGGCTGTAGCCTTCGGTATGTTTATATAGCTGACATTTTGTATTAAATTACTTTGTCCAGCTACATATGCTGTGAAAATAGAGGGACTAATAAAAAAGTCTGTAATTCCTAAACAGTTGGCTTGCTTTTCTGGTTACCCGGTGTATGGTTAGAGGTTATACGCTGCACTTCAATTAGATATTGGCTGCTTCATTTCAAATCCTGTGTGGTGGTTTACAAGGGCATGAGTGCAACACTGTGCAAACACCTATAGACTTCACTAAAAACAAAAAATTGGGAAATACTTCAGTGATATCCAAGGCGAGCAGAGTGATTACAGCCTTCAGTGCATTAAATAAAAGTTACATTTAAGCTTGCAGCCAAAAACTTGTATGCAACAGTGAGCAAAGTCAAATATCTGCACTGCTCATTCTAAAGGTCTGCACACACACAAAGCATGAGCCTGGAGGAAGCTGTGCAGGATAATAAAGTAAAAGGTATCCCATTCTACCCTCCTTTCGTCTCTCTTCTCTACTCTTTCTTTCTGGTTCTGTACTTTCTAAAAGCGCCCCCTGAACTCGTCTTCCAAAAATTATGCCTCACAGCGTTGTGACCATCACTCAGCCGCCAAAACTTCACATGACATCACAAAGGAATCACATTCAGTTACAGCGTCCTGTACTGACATTAGCCTGCTGTCGTCTAATGTTTACAAGCTTTCTGCACGTCACGTTGAATATACAAAAATATGCAAAGAGCTGAAAAATGTGGCATGTGACATACTGAATTTTTTTATTTCTCCATAATGAGAAGGTGGTGTTATGTCATTTTTGTCCACATCACAAAAGTCTCTGACCTTACCTGCGTTTTATATATAGAAAGGTTTGGTGAAGGGTAATGGATGCACATCCTTATGCCGTGTCAGCAGTGTAAAAGGGCACCGTCTTTCCTAACCTAACTCATCAGCTTTTCCCTTACTCTCTACCTTTACTGGCCTTATTCTTTTCTTAGAGTGCTTCTATGACTGATTCAGAGGCTAATGTAAGATGGCAACTGTTTTAATGAGCAGGGACCTATTCAGACTTTCTGAGTGCGATCCAAAGGAAGGAATAAGTAACATAGTTCTGTCGCATTTCCATTTGTATTCCCACCGCAGCAGCACTCTTACCCAGTCGATCTATGGCACCACTTAACCTCTGAGAGGCTTAATAGCGGGTAGGGTGAGGACAAACAGGGGAGGCTAGTTGTTAATCTTGAACAGCCACAACTTTGCTCAAACAAGTGAGACCTGTAGAACTTCCTGTCATGAAACAAGACCTTGCTGAGTATAAAGGGCACGCTGATTTGTTCTCAGACCGAGGCAGGTTTCTCACACTAGCATGCACAAAGGAAGCTGAGGTTTCTTTTTGTGCCATCAGAATCGTTTTTTGGCACAGGTGCTTCCAAGGTTCATTCATTAATAATTCGCACATAGCTTTGGCCGGTCACATTCAGCTCGATGTGCTGAATTTCACTTGAAACTGCGTCTGCCATAGTGGCTTCAGAAAGTGATTTGCATTCTACTTGGAAGCAGCTTAAAGCAAACGAGCTCCCTACAGCAGTCAACATTTGCAGCTTTTACATAAAGGTCCGCTGCTCTGAAAGTGATGATGGTATTGGTCGATTTTATCTCCGCTCACCTCATACACATTCAGCTGGTTCTGACCCCGACACAGCTCTTTGAAACTTGTGGTGAATTCACCGATGAAATCATGGCTGGTGGAAAGGAGACAAAAAGCGTCATCACAGCCTTGACTGGTGGAAGATAAAAGCACATAACCATTAATGCGTACTGAAAAAAAAGTAACTATAATTTAGTAGTCAGTAAAGACAGTAAAATAGCATTGTCTATTAGGGATGAAAACATTTTTTTTTATATATTTCTCTTGTGCATGTGTGTGCACACGCTCCTCTGTGTATCAGTTACCTCCCATCTCTGTCCCAGTCATACACCTCCACCTTGATTGTCCTAGGAAGCACATCAAAGAGCAGAAAATGTGTTTGTTTCCTTGTGTGAACATATTAATGCCTTGCGTGAGCTACAAACTTAATATTCTTGAGGAGAAATGTTACAAAGAGCATTTTGAAAGTGACAAACCAAGTTACTTAAGCTCATTTATTGTTAGTGAAAGCTGAATTAAAGCCATCAAAGAGAGCATGCTCTGTGTTTTGCATGCAAAAGACACAAACATCTTTCTAGAGATCTAATGGTGACAACATTTGTTTTCTCTTTGAAGGCAGCCTGAGTCATGTTAGGTTTTCAAAATTTATTAGCTGATTATTAAGTGCCAGTCTCAGTAATTGCCAACATTTAAGCAAGACTGACAATAATACAAATTCACAGAGCTTATTGGGTTTCTGTCTGCTTAATTTATGTATAAAAAATATGGTGCAGATTAATAAACTAGCATTAAATATTTAAATGAATTGTTTTTGTGTATCTCACAGAGTAAAGAGCTGGGCGACAACACCAACAGTTTAGGCAAAGCATTTTCTCCCCACATGCCTAAGACAGAAAAGTAACCTCTTGGGAAATAGCATATTTTGCAAGTTCCCAAAATAAGTCGGTAGGAGAAAAAAACAAATGAGCAAGCCTGAGAGAATATAGGCAGAATGAGGAAGATGCCTCCTCTTTTCTTCTCACACTGATGGAAACTAGACTAGTGGCTTGCCACCCCCATCTTCCCATCAGCTGCTGCTGTCAGTCACTTGTCAGAGGATCCAAGAGGCGGATAAGTATCGGAGGGCTACTCTGTTATCCTGACCTGAACTAATTGTGTCTGCACTATTTTTCCCAGCTAACAAATGTCCAAATTGTGTAACGCACAAAGAAAGGAGACTTCCTCTAATGGTCTGTGATGAACTCATCACTTGTCTCCCTTTAAACCAACCAGACATTCAGAGTCAGAGTTTGAAAACTTTGCAATCTTGACTAGTATGAAAAAAACAAATGATTCTTGACACTCAGGGCCACTTGTGACAGATGATTTGCCTGTGATGAGTCAGCATCATTATAATCAGCAGAGTTGGGGGCAGCTCGATCCTCGAATCAATTTCATTTTAGTTTCTGCAACCAGCGTTGTGTTGGAGTGGAAATGGGAGAGATTTCACTTTCTGATCGCTATCGAAGACAAATGATTGCAAGAGATTTATCAGATTCTCATGAGGGTGAAAATTGTGACTGCAGAGAGATAGTCAATACATCATTATTAATATATTGTAAATTTTGCTGTATATTTGCAGGAGAAAAGGGAACAAGAATGAAAGACGGTAGTGCAGAAAATACAGCACAGACCAGCCTGTCTGTGCATTTTACTGGAGTCCAAAAGAAAAGCCTGTGGGGGAGAAACCAGGCCATTTCTACTTATACAATTTAAAGAGAAATAAAAATGTCATGATTTGAAAAGTATTGGATGAAAAGACTGATAAATTGCAACAGCCGTGCAGCAGGTCTCCTGTATAGATCTCGGAAACTGTAGATATTTTAAAAGAAAAGCCAAGAGACCCTAAATGGCTGCAGATTTCTCTTGTCATCAAAATCCTCAAAGGGAATCAGGATACTTTCATGCTTCTGCTCCATCTGTCTGACCCAATTAGCTTCTCCGGGCAGGTGAACAGAGACAGGATTGAAAGCAGCGAACCTTCGCTGACACCCAGTGTAGCGGAGGCCATGGTTTGACATGTTCTTCTACACACTCGCGCGGCTGTCTGGGTCTAAACATTTTCCTGCTTCTGCACACAAACACACATAGAAGGGCTCCTGTGTTGTTCCAGCCACCTGTCAACATCTTTAGACCGACTCTCCCTCTCCTCTCGCTCTCTTTTTTCGCTCGTGTTATTTTATCTTCCTGCCAAAACTCTTCCTGCTCCTCGGGTATTCTGCAATGCCCTTCACTCTGAAAAGATTCAGATAAGCTAGAAGTTGCCACCAGAGAAACCAATCAGAAACCCTGCAATGCTCTGAAAGGCTCTCTGTGATTGTGGAGAAATCAATAAAGAGCCAGGCAAGGTGGCATGTAGTGCTAGTCAGCCTGTAATAATTGTCTATTTCAGCAGCGGATAGAATAACATTAGAAAATCAATTTGCTCTAAATCTGATAGCCCTGATCCACTTTGTAAGAGCTACACCACATATTAAAACTCTGCACCGCTTTAATTTCTCCTTGAAAAACAAACTCTGAGTGTGTGGGAATATTTGTTTGTCTTCATGAGACTCACCTGTACATCATCAGTCAACCTACCTGTCATAGTCTCCATTGCAGAGCGCTCTGACAGGGATGGAGAAGGGCTCCCACACAGGGTTCAGTGTGTTCTTCACCACCTCGGTCTTGTGGCAGATAGTGAACCTGGAGATGCAGTTAAAACAAACATCTCTAAAATATAAACAAACACTTAAAAAAAATCTGTGATAAAATCTTCTCACATCTGAAGTGGAAAACTGCTTTGCCTTGAAACCATGTCTGCATGAATTCATCGGTATGCAGCTGAGTTCAAGGGGTCTCAATCTTATTTCTAATTTTCTCAACCCTGCTTCCCTTCCTCTTGGAGCTTCATGCCCTCCAGCCCGGCTTTGATACGCCAAAACAGAAGACTTACAGCATAGGTGTCAAACTCTGGCCCGCGGGCCAAATTTGGCCCGCAGCCTAATTACATTTGGCCCGCGAAGCCATACCAAATTACTATTAGAGCTGGCCTACTGGTATTATACAGCTAATATATATATTGTTTAGTATTAAGCTTTGCTTGTTCCATATTCAGTTTTCCAGCAAAACTTGTTTGAGTCCATAAGAAAAGATTCATTCTTATATCTGGAGGAAGATTTTTTTTTCAATAAATATTAACGTTAGCCCGCGACTTTGTTCCAGTTTTGAATTTTGGCCCACTGTGTATTTGAGTTTGACACCCCTGACTTACAGAGACGCAAATGCGAAAGACAAACTCACGTGCCATCCTCATTACTTCTGTAGAAGACCATGAAGGGGTCTGACTTTCCAAAGAAGTCCTTTTTATCCAGTTTGTTGGCACAAAATTGCATGGTGGCGTAATCCTACAGACAAAGGAGGAAGGCAGTCAGAGAAATGGAATGACGGAAAAGTACAGGACATTTTAAATCCATGCTACTGGCTGTGTTTGCCTCCCGATGTTTGTGTACACATGCTGTGTGCCAAGATATAAAAGCACTGAAGCACCAACTAAAAGCAAAGTGCTGACTGAATCTTAATAAGAGGACAGCAAATCCAAACAGTGGGCTCTAGTTTCAAAAACCTGCAAATGCATTCATTACCATTTCTTTATTATGCAACACCTGCATAACAATGTAGATGGAACACGGCAAATGAAAATACCTTGTGCTGTATAAAATAACAATAAGAGTAACCATACAGAGGCACATAAATGGATCCTAACACCCTGCACACAGAGAGGGGAGGGGCCTGTGTACAAAAGCATGTGGGGAGTGTGAGTGCAGCTAATGATACATTAGAAAGGCTGGTATTATCATAATTATACTCATTTAGGCAGCATTTCAATGTGTACTGCCACATCAAAGACAAAGAGCATGCTCCATAATGTTCTTGATTCCAGTTTGGCTCCCTGTGGTCACTATATAGTACAATAATGAAGCTGCTTAATGGGCACACTGGACAGGTAAATGTCCACATCAGAAGAAAAGCTCTGCAAAGTGTTCTCCATCAGCATCTCAATCATCACCTTCACCTGAATGATGTTCAAACCTTCTTAACAGCTTTGTACCCCCCCAAACGTACCACATATGTAAATTGGGGTCTTATTCTCACATCTTAGAGTCTGTTAAAGTTTTATGCCAGAAGACATTGAAGCTTTCAAGGAGCAAAAAGAGGAGCTGTCTTTACCCAGCTGGTCTTCAGGGCTTTTAGGTTTTGAAGTGCTGCTGTTAGATCTAAACCAGCATGGTGCAGGGCCTCTATTGATTGCTTTGACCCACATCAGTCGGACACGGTCTGCCACTGACCTGCCTCTCGCTAACCCCCAAAAACATCACTTTTTGCCTTGGACACAGCACTACCACGGAGCTACTACATAATTCAAAGTACAATAACTCCTGCAGTTTTCTCCTTAAGAGGGGGATATTATGCTTGTCCTCATTTTCTGCCAGTACAAAAGATGGCATAAAAGAAGAGGATGAAAGGTGGGCGTAGCCACGCGCGGGTTTCATGCCGCAGATAATCCAACATTTTAAAACCTGGTATGACCAAGATTTTCATAATAGACTTAATTTTCTATTCAGTATGATCTAAAATGATTGAGTGAGTGCATAAACTTAGCAGGAAAGTATTTACAGAGGCTACATCAGAGAGCTGTATGTTCATAGACTTCTATAGGACCAGAAGACTCTTTGCAGCCACAGCTATTTCTATTTAGTGGCCTTCAGATAGAATGACACTTCACTGGCGTCATATTTCCACACTGGAAGCTATGTATTTTAACTGTATATGCAGGACTCCATTGTTCAAGGAGCTCGCTAAAAAGAAGAGTGGACTAAATAAGAGTATTCAACAAGGTCCAATGTTAAATAAACAACACTTATTTTGAACTATTTGAAATAATACAGTTACTGTTTTAGAGTCCAAAAGAATGACATTGTTGCGCTGGAACAATTTAAAGAATGAGCTAATCTGATTACACCACAGTTTGAATCCTTTCACTGTGGTGGAAATGTTGAAGCAGGTGAAGAGTAAAGCTATGATTAAAACAGTCAGCGCTGGCAGCTGGATGGGTTGCTATATATCCATTTTCATTTCCTACTGTCATTTTCAGTTATTATCTACCTTTCTATCCAGCCTGCAATATCTTTGCATTTTCTACCTGCAGTGTGTCAAGCTCTCCCTCTGTGGTTTTTTTCACAAGAACGTTTAATTTTCCAAGGTGCTGTTTGGTGCATTAAAACTAACACATCATGTTGGGAAAGTTTGCTTAGGTCAGATATGAAAGCCCTTAAAAAATAGATCCGTAGTATAACTGTCCTGTTTAACCCTGACACAGCTTCTACAATTACACTATCATGGCAGCACAGTGCCCTAAGCCTTCATTAGGCATGGATAACACATACCCACATCGGAGCCTAGCAGTGTTCTCTCATTAAGCGAGGAAAAGGCAGAACATTCATTTCAGCCACTGAGGTTTAGGAGCAGCAGGGGAATAGTGACTTCTGTGTACATCCTCCTACCCGTTTCTCTGCTCTACTAAGATATCACCGCATGGGGTAAGTGGCAGAGCAACGCACACTGCCACTTACAGAGAGTGGGGTGGGTCTATTCAAAGAGATACAAAGCAATGCACACAGTGCCTGAATTCATGTTACACAAGCTTATGACATCCTTGGGATTGCAGACTGTAGTGAATCACAAAATGAATCATAAGCTTCGCGCATCACTCCATTCATCCGAGCATTCGTCTATTATGACTGTAAGCCTCAGGTGAAGGATTTTTTGTCAATGTAAGGATGAGCATTATGTAAGCTCAAAAAGTGAAGAACGTTTGCTTGATAAATGAAAAATGTTAGTGTAATCAGGGTTTTAATGTTACCAGAGCTAGTTTAAATTCATTCAAGAGGTTTTGTGTTATTTTATTTCATTTAATTTATTTGATTACTTTTTCCATATTCATAGGACGTGAGGCTGATCTGTACAGACTAAAAAGCCTCTCTGTAGAAAACTTGTGGTGTCAAGTTTTATAAACAAAATCGCCACTTTGTGAACAATTGTGAGTCGAACTGATAACCAGGACTGAGGTTTACAGCTTCCATATGTTAAATGTTGTGTGGTTTACTTTTGTTTAAATCAGACAGAGCTGGACCGTGTGGAAGATGTGAAGCGAGCCAGCCACTGCTCTGCACTCCTATGTGCCAGAGGCAACGACAGCCAAGAGGAAGCCTTTGATCCATGCAGAGGCTGTTGCTCTGTCTAATGATACCTGGCAAATCCACCACGAAGGTGAGAGCCAGCCCAGTTCTCGATTCACAGTCCCTGCAGAACTTCCCCAGTCGATTCTCCCTCTGCTCGTCTCACTTTCCCCAAACAAGAGTTGCAGTGTTTACCTCGGGCGATGCTGCAACTCAGCTGCCTCCATTTATTGGTCACAGGTGGATTATAGAATAAACAACAACCAGATGGATGGTGGCAATCCAGACTGTAAGAATTCACAGGTGTGGTGTTGTGCTGACAGCGCTGTCTTCTGAGTCACGCTTTTAGTACGTCGTTGCTTTCATTTGCCTGTTCTTTCTCTTTTCTGTTCAGGGTTAAATTCTGTGTATACAGGGCAGGTCTGCGGTGACATGTCTAGTCGGTGTCTCTCTAATGGAGTCTGGGAGAAGGGAAATCATCATTTGTACCAGTAACGATCATTTGCATTTATATTACTGAATCGCCTCTTGAAGAGGTGCTTTGCATTGATGATGCTAACTCCTATCATTCGCAGATCCAATGCACCTGATGACTCACAGCAGCCCTCCAATGACTGTGAGCACTGACACTTCAATCCAGCAGTGCAGAATCAGTAATGCTTATCATGGTGGTTTCATTATCAGCATGTCTTATCAGTCTCACTCTAACAGGAGACTCTTTATTTGTCAGGGAATAAACAATAAGAGAAAAAAAACACCTAGTCAGGTACAATGATTGTTAAACAAGGTGCTTCTTTAAGCTAAACAAGTATGTCAGGAAGTTAGAAACCACTGAATCATTGCTTACATGTATTAGGGAATCATAAAACATTTACAGAGAAGCTCAAGGGCTTTTTGTTCAGCCTCTGAGGGAGGCCGGTTGTTCCGGTCAATAAGTCCTGCTCCACTGGCAGCAGTATAATGTGATTATTTACTATCTTCATTTAGCAGTGTGGAGAGAAAGTCAATGGGCATTAGTGGACACAGGTTATTAACGCAGACTCATGGATTAACGCACACTACATAGGAGCAAGTGCCTGTTTTAGTGATTGAAATGAAGGCGGTCTCATTAAATAGCTATTCAAACTCATAGCATATCCACTATGTACACAAGTTCCAAATGGCAAACGCAACTGCAAAGTAACACGGCATATCCTGCTCGTTTAATGGGGACAGTTATGGCACAATATATCTCGCTGAAGTAAAGGATATTAAATATCCCACTTCACTTCAGCGGACTCGTGAACATTGCTAAACATGGATAATGGAGCAATTCCATGCAACGCAGGCGATCTCACAGTGACGTGTCACAATTTAACAATTCGCTCATTTAAAGTCAGATGTAATGATGCTTAAGGGTCGAGTTCACATGAGACAAGTGAACACTGCAAAACATTTACTCTGACACTTAAAGTGTAAACAGTTACAAAAACAAAAAAAGTATGATGGTTAAAACTTTTTGGACTTACTCGGCAGTTTCCAAGCTCCTCCGCAGACAAGATAACAGTTCCACATTTCTTCCCGGGTATACCACTGTGAAAACAAACACATATCCTTCTCTCATCCAAGTAAAACTTTCACAGCGATCCATTTTGACCATTTTTTAGATGTTAGCAGGTTAACAATTAGAGGCATTGTGTTGCATTTTGCTATACTAATCCATGATGCCAGTAAACAGCAAGAATTGTCAGTAGTTCTAGCATCCTCTTTTGTAAATTCCACTGAATCCGGTTATCTTTGGGAAAGGGGCTGAAACATCTAAGTGGAGCTGAAACGCTTTCTTGTGTCTTTCTATTCTACAAGTTTGATTTCACACCTTCTGAGCGATAGAAGAGGAAAGACCACAGATAAGATTCATGGATGTAGCGAAGGAGGACACGCACAGGGCTGGAGTGGCAGAACAGGACACTAGGGATAGGGTGAGATACAGGCAGAAGATTTCCTGTGGCAACCCCTAAAGGAACCAGCCATATAAAGAAGAATAACCTTTTTGAGAGACGGAAGTATCAATAATTAGAAATATTTATGTTTCTAAGATTCTTCTTTGTTTGAATTGTACAATAAGGCTTCATTTCTGGCTTATTTTCACATCCAATTGTATTTTAAATTCAGTAGTATATAGAATTGCAATGTTAATTTAGTATGACAGTGTGACAGCTCTAATGAGCACATTATTCCTTTTTCTCCACCTTAAGTGAATCAAAAACAAGTTATAAATATAGGCTCCCAAGTTTTCAGAGCAGTGTGATATCAGACTGCTGAGAAGCAGAGCTCTTCCGATTCCCGATTGCCTGCACCATATTGAGACTTTAAAGCTGCAGTTGTTTACCACTGATTCACGCTCCAGCAGATGATCAAGACATATCGCAGCACAAGAGGCGCTCTCTGCATGTCTGTGTTTCCATACATCACCTCTTCACTAAGCTGCCAATCCAGTGGCTGATTCTAACAAAAATAGAGACAGCGCTGCATCACAGTTTGTCCTAAATGTTATTTGGCTGTATTTTTTGAAGCGGAACAAAATGACTTTTTTTTCCCTGATATCCAATCTAACCAGCTCTCAGCATCCACTGAAGCTGTGAGAAGAAGGCAGAATCCATTCGACCCAACACGGAGCAATACACCATATCTGTTTTCCAATCATACAATAGCATTCCAGCTGCTACAGCTCCCATCATCCTTCTGGATAAAAAAGGAAATTACACGAGTGTCCTGCTGTGGCCTTAGCTGGAGACCAGTCATTAGAAGGTCAGACTTGCTGTGACAGACTTGTTCATCAAGCTGTGATAGCTGATCTGAATATCAGTACTACTACATACATACTGCTAAGCAAGAGGCAGCCTTTGACTATAATGGCAAAAGTTCCTTTATTCATAACATCAATCTCAAGCACGAACCTAAGTGAACTTTCAGAACTGGATTATATCAGAGAACCCGGGCCTGCCTGCACATGAGATTTCTGTAATGTTTTTAGGACGTATGGTACGAGGTGTTTTCCATTCATCTCAATCAGGTTTGCCAGGACTGCATCACAAGAAGTAAAGCTCTATAAAACCAGTTGTCATGCTGTGGAGGAATAGTTCTCCAGGCTTCTCTTGTGCTTGAAGGACATCTAGCCACTCTTCCATTAAGAATATTTCAGACTAGAAATGTTCCTCTCAGGTCTTTGCCAGATTTTTCTTATTTCCTAAGAATATGATTTGCTGTTTATCTGAGGTACAGATAAGGACACTGCAAAGTAGAGATATGCAAAGTTTTCAGCTAATGGTTCTTTGGGAATCACCTTTCAGCTAAAGAAAGGAACAACGTCTGTGTTGTTGCAAAAGCCTGTTAGTAACAAAGTTTCTAAAGATGAGATTTTAAATTGTTTGTTTGCCAATTTGTCTAAGATGTAAAGACAACACTGGTTCATCCCTTGAGTTAGGTGCCTTTGTCATGCTTGAAATATTCATAGGTCAAAAAAGTGCTCAGATACAAGCAATAGACTGAAAATGAGTGAAAAAGCAGCCAATGCTCAAAGAACAACTTTGAAAGACCTTGAGCAAGCCTGGACAACTATTGCTCATGACCGCTTTACAAATTCTTTACATTTAAAAAAGTCCAGCTCCTGGGTACTAAAATATAAAGAAATGAGGGTCTGAGAGAGTTTTATACAGTACTGTACCTCAACACAAATCCACTTAGCACTGAATTGTGGCTGCTGCATCTGCTTTCATGAGGCAAAAGGAAAAACTGAACTCTCACGGAGCAGGTCTGCTTAGTTTTCGGGCTTTATCTTGGAGGTCCACAGAGACCCGTCTCAGGGTGAATTAACTGTCCTTGAATTATTGATGCTTTACTCCAAGTCACCACCGTGCAGTTTGATGGCGCCTTGAAAAGCGAGTAAAGCTCTAACCAATGATGCCAGTAAACCCTGCACGCTCCACAGGTCATATTATCTCCCTGAGGTCACAATAATGTTAGATATTCCTATTAAACCAGGAAATGAGATCCAGCAATTGGTAAAGTATCAGCTCCAGGCACGTTTAGATGCACCACCCTGCTCTAATCTCTGCGGCAGAGAAGAGAGCAGGTACCAAAAGGGCAATGGTCTTTTAAATCAGGTATGCATTATTGAGTTTGCAATTTCCCCTGACAATGACTAGTTAACATGAAGAGCAAGCAAGCAAGCAAGCACTGAATGGATAAATACAGTTCCTACTAATTATCGATCAAACGTGACTTTGGGTTTTTTTTCTCTAAATTTTTCTGCTCCGTGCTGCGATGTGACTGCAGGTGATACAAAGTGTCCTGCATCAGGAGGCTTCATTCTCACAGCACTCATATACTGATGGTTTTTCAGTGGGGAAAATGCTTTGATGATGAAATTATGTGAAATTTTTGGCTGTGGTCCTTCTTTCCTGTAAATCTGCAATGAACACAGTCTACATTCTGTCAGCTGTGGGGAACCAACAGGATTTAATCAAGGTGGTCGTGTAAGTGCAAAACACATTTGTAACATTTTTAAACGAGTCCGGTACAACAAGATGAAGCTATTTTGTGATGTTTCACAGCCTGGCAATCCCCAGCTTAGCACAGCAACAATTTGAGACCTTCACTGTTTCAAGTTACACCATCATGAATGTGCATGTCAATACACAGTATTGCCCTGAATATGTTTTTTTTCTAGCACACAGATGGCTCTGTTTTACAGTAATTCCTGGAGATGAGATTGTTCTAGATACATGGCAAAAGTCAAATAGTTGGCTTAGTAACCAAAACTGTAACAATGGGGAATGACGCAGAGAGAGAACTCTTTTAAAGAAGGAATAACAGCATTTACATTCTGAGTTACAGAAAGTCTTAATGTGGACAACTTGTTCAGAGAAGGCTGGCAGCCTGTTAATATAAAAGGCTGATTAATGCAATATGGTAATATTCCTGCAGCATAGCAATACAGGTGAGTAGTGACTGCAATAACCGCATGCTAAGTATGTATGATGATCCTTTCCACCATTCTTAGTCCTCCATAATTCATCCAGTCACTTACAGGCTTCCCTTGGCACTCAGCAGACACAGTACCATAAGGGCCTGACCAACTAAATTCTAGTCCAGTGCAGAAACCTCAGCAGGACTAATTTTTAAAGTCAGATTAGCATCATGTCTGCTGTTCCTCCTTTTCAACAGAATCCCCCAGGATCAAACAAAACTTCATGAAGAAGAGAAACAAATAGAGAGAGAAATGAAATAGCGCCTTGTAGCACAGCAGCTTCCTTTACCCAGAAAGAAACAGAGGCAAGAAGTGCTGTCATGCTCTTAGCTCTGAAACAGAGGGTTAGCTACAGCTGCCTTGACAGAACCCCTGTTTGATCAACTGAATGGAGAGAGATCAAGCAGCATATTTCAACATTACTACAATTACTTGGCCAAAGTTTTTGATACTGCTGTTCTGCAGAATACCGATGAGAGTACTGGGTGTCTCTATTTGCCAGGGAACCATGTATGCGAACCATTTATTCCTCCAAAACGCAAGCATCAGAGATTATTAGGCATGACATATTATAATATGGATATTCAGGCTCAATGTATGGCCTCTATAATTTCCCATCTAGAGGCAGTTGCTGTCATGAAATAGTGATTCACAATCCCTGTATTCTCCATTACCTATCTGTGCGGAGGTCGGGTGGATGGAGGATGGTGAGATTAAAGTCCGAAGAGGGAGAAGGAAGCAATTGTTGATGCCGTTCACATTAGGTCATTAGGATGAGGGATGGTCTTGATATTTAACGACAGCGCAACGTGTCACGCATAAGAGAGTGAGAGAGGGTTATCTGCTCAACAACATGAGTGAGAGTCCTAGAAGAAGAAAGCGATTTTTTTTCACACTGCAGTTTCTGCAGGGTGGGTCTGCATATATTTTTTTCCTGTGACGCATAGTGGCTGCACTGCTATCGTGCAAAGAAGTGTTATATTGCAATTTCACACCTAAATGGCAATTAATCACTTAAAACAAATTATTCAGTAAGGTTAGGTGCGAGCACAGCAAGAAAAAAAAGGATCGGTTTAACTGCATTTCACTGCGACTGTCCAGGTCAGTGAATTTAGTAAATCTGCCTGGATGACAAGGGGACTGATATAAATGAACAAATCTAACGAGTTCCAGTCGAGTGAAAGGCTAGCAGAGATGGGTGGAAGGCAGATAATCGGGCTTTGTGCCACTGTAACCATATGGGGCAGTGGGCATATCATAGCTGAACAGAATTAGCCAAGGTTGCCAAAACTCTTTGTGGGTTTAAATGGGATTATACCACTAATCCCTCTGATCTTCATATACCGATAAGAATCCATAATCCTTCACCTTCCCAAGATTTTTTTTAAGAGGATGAAAAGTGCAACGGCTTATTCAAAAGGGCACCAGAATACCCGCTGTATTTCTCAGACAGGAGCTCCTTCCTACAGGTATTGCAGGAGGAGATGCTGTTTGTGTTCAAGGCTGGTAGCCACAGGCTACCTGTGCTAAGCTTTTAGAGGCTCTGTCAGAATGAGCACAAAGC